GTCAACGTGCAAACGTGTCAACGTGCAAACGTGTCAACGTGCAAACGTGTCAACGTGCAAACGTGTCAACGTGCAAACGTGTCAACGTGCAAACGAGTCAACGTGCAAACGTGTCAACGTGCAAACGAGTCAACGTGCTTCCGTCGATTAAAATTACGGGCACCAAAGTTAGGGACAGGGATAAGGGTCGCTGGGGTGGTGTAAAGTAACATACAGGTAACATAAAACAGTTCTACATGTGCCATACCTTGTCGGCTGTATGTTTGTCTGGATTTATTGATCAAACTTGTACCATCAAGTTTCTGCAGATCCCATAGTTTGACTGACCCGTCGTCTGATGCTGTAGCGAAGTACTGAAGATCCTGACTCAACTGTATTCTACGGTATATAGAAAATATCACATGTTAAGACCTTGATATCGTTTTTTATTTACGAGTTTCCATATCATATCGCGAACGAACGAGTCCTTGAGGGAGTTAGTGACATGATATGTACGAGTAAATAAAAAAGATAGGCTTTTAACATGTGATAATTTGTTTATTTAACAGATCAAAAACAATTTTCCGTGTTTGATACTCTTATCAAAACACGCGGGATGTTGGGAGAACACGAGAGGAGCGTAGGAAACTACGACGCGTAGCGGAGTGATTTCCAGCTTCTCGAGTGTTCTCCCAACATCCCGCGTGTTTTGATCAGAGTATCAAACACGGAAAACTGTTTTTGATCTGTTAAATCAAACACAGAAAACTGTTTTTGATTTGTTTTATAAAATAACAAACACGCGAAAAGATCGAAAAAAAGCAAAGTCTAAGTAAATTCTCCTTACGTGCCGTATTATTCAAACTGACCAATAGACGCGCGCGATAGATTAAAAATGACGATAGCGTGTTTTGATACTCTCATCAAACATGGTTTTCGACCAATCATAGCGCGCGTAGTATCCAAATTATTTTATAAACTCTCATCAAACATGGTTTTCGACCAATCGTAGCGCGCGTAGTATCCCAATTATTTTATAATACACATTTAAGGTCGATAAAATGACAACATTTACAATTTCCAGTTCACCGTGAAGTGATATCGTATCACTTCACTGATATGGTTTTTATTCACGGCTTTATCACACTGATATCGACCCTAAATGTGTAATAAACAAAAATATACGATAAACACCATTCACTAAAGCTTGATTTTAGCATTAAGTTCAGACTAAACTGCAAAGCATTGCAAAAGCAAAGAAAGAGTATTTTACAGTTGCACTTGCGATTAAACTTCTTTGTCAGGAGAAATTTATTGTCAAGACTAGAATTCACATACTTTCGAAAAATGTTCTTCTTGATCAAATTTTATGGCAAATCACTATTAGGTGGCTGTTTTTGGCACCACAAAAATATGCTACCGCAAGTTAATGCATAAGGCGATTTTTAGTGTCGCCTTACCGCCGTTTGCATTGCTACGCGGCCACCCCAGACAAAAATCGCGACGTGCACTTTGCAATAGACTGACGTCAATCAAACACGTTGACGTCATTTACACGCATTTGGATCCGCCCGGTGAGCGTGGCTCGTAATACTTGTAAAAAATCGACAAGTTTTGGCGCCTTTTGAATATCACACGCGTGTAAATGGCTGGGGTGGCCGCGTAGCAATGCAAACGACGGTAAATGTTCCATTTGCGGACCACGTTCAGTCTAACAATAGGAAGGATAATAACAAACCTGTTGATAGCAGCCTTGTGTTCGTGAAGATGAGCCACCAGTTGTCCCTTCGGAGACCATCTGAAAATAAAAATATTCATATTCTAAAGCTGTTTCTGTACGATTGACAAACTACACGGCAAACTGGTAGTCCTAGCATATCATAATTTATCAAAAAACAGCCAATGAGAATGCAAGAAGAATGTTGCATGTTAGGTGGTATTCCACCGTTTCTTCCCATCAGGCATTGCGCTGTTTTGAATTTCTTGGGTATATAAATGTCTAGGTATTTTTAATGGTGTGACATAAAATAGTTATACAATACTTTCTCGTTGTACACCTTGAAATATCCCACTTGTCATTTGTAAACACACTTCGTCACCTGAGAGACTGTGTATATACCTATTTCAAAAAAGGTTGTCATCGCCAAAGGAGATAGGCGATAGGCGAAAAGCGATGGGAAATAGGTCACTCCAAAATCCAAGAATAGCTGGAATGACTTGTGTTTCTGCTTCGATCTTGTCAAGAACATGGATCTTAGTGTTGAGACTGAATCAATGTTCTTTGTATTCAACGAAACCATTTCCATCGCCGTTGCCTCGTGGGATATTTCGCGGTATATCACCTAAAACCATCGTATAATTAATGAGTATGTTTTATTAATAATGATCAGTTGTAAATACCTTTGTTGTTGAGGTTTTTTGCTTTCAGACAGGACACTTCTGATGATATCTTTTTCTTTCATATCTAAAGAGATTACAATTACATTCCCATTTGTGGCCGGCCAGTACCAGTTGTAGATGTAACTAAATCAAACATTATACCTGGAAACAACGTTGCCCTGTCTGGCTGGATCAAACAGTTGTAAAGCCAAGATCTAAAAAGGTCATAGGCCCACCCCTTTCCCTTCAGTAAGAAGTTTATGACCCTTCTATTAAGGACACTAGAGAAAAACGTTTGCGCATGCGTGCACTTCAGCACGTTTTCTAAGAATTTTGAAGAGTTTGAGTGAGAAAATAAATGTTTGTTTTCTCCATGTATGCAAACAATTTCGCGAGTATATACTTTTGTCAGACCAAGACACTGTATTAACAAACACAATATGAAAGAATTAGCCTTAAGTTTCAAGCATGG